TTTATCAACCCTCCATCTAGACTCTCTACTGAACCTCTTTGAATAGAGGTGATGCTGTTGTTCTGTGTGTCTGGTTGGGGGGCAGGGACTCTCAAAACTATTTCTCATTCAGCAGTTAGCCTCACAACATGGTGTTAAGCTCTAAATACAAGTCAGGGAGCCCAGGTAAGAGGATAGAAATTGATGTAGGGTTGGCACCTCCCCAATAACCTGGACAGATGTTTAGTAAACCTGAGATACCATTGTCAGAATACTTTCTTCTGGCTGCTGCTTTGGCAAAATGCAGGTTAGCCACCAATCTATGAACCACGGCCTCACGTGAATGCCCAGTATGTCAGTGTTCTCCGGCAATGCTCTGAGGCCTAAGTATGTAGGAGAACCTAGGTAATTAGGAGCTTAAAATTTTGTTTGGGGGGAGATAAGACAAATCTGATAAGAGGTGAATAATGATATGAGAGTATGTAATTTAATGTCAGAGTGAGCGCTATGAAGGTTATCAGATTCCTGTATAAGTTAGGGCAGTTGGGAGACGCAGAACAGAAAACACACTAGTTGAGCTCGATCCTGATGGAAGAGCCAAGGGTACCTTACGTGTACAGGACTCTATCATTGGCATGTCTTCCCTGGGCTCTCTCATTGCTCACCCCCCACCCCCACCTTCTTCCCTCAGTGGAAAAGGTGGTGGGGGCGAAGCCACAGGCCAGAGCCAAGGGCCTGTAGAGGCTTAGCAGGCTTAGAGGAGAAATAGGTGTGTCCAGAGTATTAATGGTAATTCTTTTAGTGATCTTTAGCACTTTAGTTTGACACTAATGGAAACAGGACCAAGAGGCAGTAGAATGGTTATGCTTAAAGACTTGGCAGCTAGACGGCTAGGGACTCAAGTTCCAGCTCCACCATTTATGGGCTGTGTGATCCTGGACATATTAATCTTTGAGTATTTCAGTTCTCTCATCTGTGAAAGAGAGACAATAGTACTTCTCTTAGGGTTGAGAGGATCTAAAGGATTAGATCAGGTTAAGACACAAGGAAGAAGCAACTGTTCAGTCATGGAATGGAAAGTGATAGGATCTTTTGGGGCTCCTATTTTTAAAATGTAGATTCCCAGACTTTTTTAAGCTCCAGGAATTGAGACTCAGGAGGTCTGAGGCCCTAAAAGCTGCTGCCTTTTTTTTTTCTTAAGTAAACTTTATTTTGGAATTATTTTAGGTTTACAGAAAAGCTGCAAAGATAATTCAGTTCCTGTATACCCCTTGCCCATTTGGCCCTAATGCTAACACATCCTCATAGTACACTGTGAAGATGAAGAAGTCAACACTGGCACGTTACTGTTAACTCCAGACTGCAGTTGGATCTCACCAGATTTTCCACTAATGTTCTTTATCTGTTCTAGGATCCAATCCAGGATTCCACATTGCATTTAGAGAAGCTTCGTTTTTCATAGGCACTTGCAGCTGATGAGAGGTAGGTGGTCTGGGGACCGTATCTTGAAAAATAATAGGACACGTGAAGGACGGAGCAAGGTCAAATTGCCCCATCCTGGCATTGGGAAGATGGCAGTTTTGAAGCAGAAGGGGATAAACTGATGGAGGGGTGATGTAGAAGGCTGGTGTTAAAAAGTTGAAATGGAACCCCCCCCATAAGACGGGAGAGGCTACGTTAAGAAGTGAGGCATCTATTATTATGCCAGATGAAATGAGTCTTGGAGCTGGAAGGTGGGGTTGCTACCTAGGCTGAGAAGCTCCATCTCGGGGTTGTGGGCATGTCAGGAAAGTCAACGAGGGCAGTGTGTGTGGAACAGCTGCCCTGGGGAAACCAGGAGTGCTCAGGTAGGTGACCATAGGGGATTACAAGGGGCTGGTTAGCCTGGGAGCCACAGAAGTTCTGTATTTCCTGGAATCCGATGGAAATGCTTTGGAAATGGGTCCCAGTAGTAACCAATATCAAGCATTGCCATGTTGGACACTAGCAGAGGTGAGGTGATCTTATTGAGGGAGGACCCTCATCAAAGCCCCCATCTTGGGGGCTGGAAGGTTAGTAGAATTGAGAATGGTAAGATGATGAAGGAATAGGTGTTTTAAGAAAAAGCTAGCAGGGGCACATGGGTGGCTCAGTCGGTTAAGCATCCAACTCTTGATTTTGGCCCAGGTCATGATCTCAGGGTCATGAGATCAAGCCCCACGTTGGGCTATGTGTTGGGTGTGGGGCCTGCTTAGGATTCTTTTTCCCTCTCCCCCTTCCTCCTGCCCCAACCTTGATCACACACTCTCTAACTAGCAGAATAATTTGAGGTCTTGAAGTGGATGCTATTGATACCTTTTATTTTTTTTTAAGATTTTATTTATTCATGAGAATCACAGAGAGGCAGAGACACAGGCAGGGGGAGGAGCAGGCTCCCTGTGGGGAGCCCGATGTGGGACTCTATCCCAGAACTCCAGAATCACACCCTGAGCCAAAGGCAGACTCTCAACGGCTGAGCCACCCAGGTGTCCCTATTGATACCTTCTTGGGGACCTTAGGTTCTGAGGTGACCACTGAATTTCTTGAATGCAGATTTCTTAGTTCCCTTCCCAGCAGTTATAATCATTACTCCCTAACCTGTTCATTCTTAAAAGAACTTTAAACTTTTTTCGATTTCTCTTCATTTTTATTTCATTCTTAATTCTTTCTGCACCCTAGAGATCCCCAACCACAAATTGGTATTCTTAAAATCTGTATCACATTAAGTACATGTTCTTAAAAATAGTGGAAATTGCCTCAGAAACCAAACCGACTGCGCCTGTGAACTACAGGGCTGAAGGGCTCCTAAGTCTCTTGCTTTCTTGCTGTCACAGTGTCTGGCCGGCCAGGGCGTTAAGTGGCGAACAGTTAAGACTTCAGGCCATCTAATCCTTAACTTGATAGACGCTGCATGTAACCTGTAGATTCAAGGGCTTTTCCAAGTAGCCCTGTACTCATGAATGCAGCTTCTAGGTGAGACAACAGTTGTAGTCATTTCATATGTGAGTACAGATAAGTCTTGGTGATGAAAGATTTCAGCTAGCTTATACGCTGTGGCTAAACTTTTCCAAAAACATTGTATAACCTGGATACAGAGTGAATGATTTTCCCATAAGTACTGGGTTCGTTTTTTTTTTTTTTAAATCAAGGACTAGTGTATTTATACATATAGGAAAACTAAATCCAAGAAATGAACTTCGAACTGTTACAAAACCAAGATTCAGTGGTGTTGGATTTCAATAATGAATGGGCATGCGTGGGGCACATTAAACGTCAAAGAGAAGGTCGTGATAGAATCTGATACAGCAAGAAAGTTCCTTTAACCAGAAGCATTGGGCCTCAAGGTCTTAGGATGAACCGTGTGAACTGCTAATGAGCAGCCATTTTTGACTTATAAAAATGGGAATTTCATCTGGTTCAGACATGTGACCTTTGTCTTTTCCTTGCAAAGACCTAAAAGCCCAGTTCCCAATAGATCAGAGTTAAAGTTTCACTGCAGTCAGTATTCCAATAAGGAAAAAAAACTAAAACTGAAGATAAATGAGTTGAGGTAGATCTTTTTTTAGTCTTGTTTAGGGGACGAGCCTTTCCTAGGTATGAAACCCTGAGAACACTGCCATAGTTACTACCCTAGTGGTAGCGAGTTTCTGTGCTCTGTGACATTTGTCAGAGAACCTACCAGCTTTTGGGGATGTTTATTACTTTCACCCTAAGCTGACTCAATTTCCCATTTATCAAAATGGCTGTACTGCCATCTAGAATTAAAGCCAACAGGGAAAGAACAACCTGTGATTCTACCTCATTCTGCCAACTTGTTCTTGAAGCTACTCAGGTCGCGTTCCTCCCCCCAGATTTTCATTTAACCTTTGACCACCCTTGTCAGCACTTCTGCTTAGTAGTCGGCGTAGTAAAGGGTACAGTCTTACAGTGATTTGTGACAGACTGTCCTCCTACATGAAGTCCGATCATTTAACCTCGCCAGCAGTTTATCAAGAACAAAGGGATCAGCTGAAAAGTTGACCTTACGTAGTGAATTAAGGTAGATGATGAAAATACAGCAGCTCTCAGGCTTTAGAGTATTGCTCAAGCGGAGCGGCTAAGGTCTTAATTTTTTAAGATTTCATTTATTCATGAGAGAGACACAGAGACTGAGACACAGGCAGAGGGAGAAGCAGGCTCCCTGCAGGGAGCCCGACTTGGGACTCGATCCCAGGCCTCCAGGATCAGGCTCTGGGCCGAAGGCAGACACCCAACTGCTGAGCCACCCGGACGGCCCAAAGTCTTAGTTTTAAACCTGATGAAGATTTGGCATATTTCTCACTGAAATGTGACTTTGAAAATAGTATTCTAAAAAGTCAAAATAGGTGGGCTGTTTCTCTTTACAGCAAAGATTATTCTAGTTCTTCCATTTTCTTTCCTAGGGTTTTTTTTTTTTTTAAAGGTTTTATTTATTTATTCATGAGACAGAGAGGCACAGAGCACAGGCAGAGGGAGAAGCAGGCTCCATGCAGGGAGCCCGACGTGGGACTCATCCCCGGTCTCCAGGATCAGGCCCTGGGCTGAAGGTGGCGCTAAACCACTGAGCCACCTGGGCTGCCCTCTTTCCCAGGTTTTAACTGCTTAAAATCCTCACGTTCTGTTTCTGTAGCTTTCCTGTAATTCCTTGCTCTCTGGTATATTTTACCTTTCCTTCTGGTGTGCTTTTTCCTCTTGGCACAAGAAGGAGCCATTCAAAGATGCCGTCTACTGTGTGATGCTTCTGAGTACTGTGGCCAGTGATTTTAAGTATACTAAATAAAGGCCTTTCGGCTGAAAAGAGCAAAAGCCAAAGAAATACATGATGACACTAACTAGAGACAAGGGTCAAACCAAATCACGAATGATCAGTTTGAAAATGCTGTCAAGACCCTGCTCATGGATCAGAGCCGACTCAAAGAATCCAAGTTAGGCAGAGATGGAATGCTACGTGAACCAAGAGATGGGATACAAACACACTAGCCGGATTTTAATTAAAATAGAGTTTATTAGCTTTTAATATAAACATGAGGAAGAAAAACCACATAAGTTGTAGCATTCTTTTCAAAATAAAACTGCAATCAATCAATACTTAACTCTCCAAGCTCCGAACTCCATAAACAATGTTTTTTGAGGTGGTAGATTGTAATACTTGATATACTGTTATGTATCATTTATGTGTCTGTCCTTTAAAAATGATGGAACCTGCAGCACTCAATATAATACGAAGCCTTGCTATACTGAGAGAAAGTATCCCTGGCCCAGACATGCGAGCTTTACAGGCAAAATTCCTAGATTACATTTGAGAAGGCAGGAGAAAGATTTCACATGGTTAGGAACACTAATCTTTTTTTTTTTTTTAACATTTCAAGTTTAAGTGACATCATTACCAATCTCCTAGAAGACTGATTACTTAACTCCCTGCCTTGCCTGAGGTGAGGGTTCCTCTTAAACAGGACTGGAAAGAGACCCCTCCAGCCAGGTTAACCCCTTATCATTTATGTGTCTGTCCTTTAAAAATGATGGAACCTGCAGCAATCAATATAATACGAAGCCTTGCTATACTGAAAAAAGGTATCCCTGGCCCAGACATGCTAGGTTTACAGGCAAAATTCCTAGATTACATTTGAGAAGGCAGGAGAAAGATTTCACATGGTTAGGAACACTAATTTTTTTTTTTTTTTAACATTTCAAGTTTAAGTGACATCATTACCAATCTCCTAGAAGACTGATTACTTCACTCCCTGCCCTTTTAAAGCCTGAGGTGAGGGTTCCTCTTAAACAGGACTGGAAAGGAGACCCTTCCAGCCAGGTTAACCCCTTATCATTTATGTCTGCCCTTTAAAAATGATGGAACCTGCAGCAATCAATATAATACGAAGCCTTGCTATACTGAAAAAAGGTATCCCTGGCCCAGACATGCTAGGTTTACAGGCAAAATTCCTAGATTACATTGGAGAAGGCAGGAGAAAGATTTCACATGGTTAGGAACACTAATTTTTTTTTTTTAACATTTCAAGTTTAAGTGACATCATTACCAATCTCCTAGAAGACTGATTACTTCACTCCCTGCCCTTTTAAAGCCTGAGGTGAGGGTTCCTCTTAAACAGGACTGGAAAGGAGACCCTTCCAGCCAGGTTAACCCCTTATCATTTATGTCTGCCCTTTAAAAATGATGGAACCTGCAGCAATCAATATAATACGAAGCCTTGCTATACTGAAAAAAGGTATCCCTGGCCCAGACATGCTAGGTTTACAGGCAAAATTCCTAGATTACATTTGAGAAGGCAGGAGATAGATTTCACATGGTTAGGAACATTTTTTTTTTGACATTTCAAGTTTAAGTGACATCATTACCAATCTCCTAGAAGACTGATTACTTAAGTCCCTGCCCTTTAAAGCCTGAGGTGAGGGTTCCTCTTTTTTTTTTTTTTTTTTGTCTTTTTTTGTGAGGGTTCCTCTTAAAAACAGCAGGACTGGAAAGGAGACCCCTCCAGCCAGGTTAACCTCTTATCATTTATGTGTCTGCCCTTTAAAAATGATGGAACCTGCAGCAATCAATATAATACGAAGCCTTGCTATACTGAAAAAAGGTATCCCTGGCCCAGACATGCTAGGTTTACAGGCAAAATTCCTAGATTACATTTGAGAAGGCAGGAGATAGATTTCACATGGTTAGGAACAATAATTTTTTTTTTTTTACATTTCAAGTTTAAGTGACATCATTAACCAATCTCCTAGAAGACTGTCCCTGCCCTTTAAAGCCTGAGGTGAGGGTTCCTTTTTTTTTTTTTTTTTTTGTCTTTTTTTTTTTTTGTCTTTTTTTGTGAGGGTTCCTCTTAAAAACAGCAGGACTGGAAAGGAGACCCCTCCAGCCAGGTTAACACCTTATCATTTATGTGTCTGTCCTTTAAAAATGATGGAACCCGCAGCACTCAATATAATACGAAGCCTTGCTATACTGAAAAAAGGTATCCCTGGCCCAGACATGCTAGGTTTACAGGCAAAATTCCTAGATTACATTTGAGAAGGCAGGAGAAAGATTTCACATGGTTAGGAACACTAATCTTTTTTTTTTTTTTTTTTTTTTTTTTTTAACATTTCAAGTTTAAGTGACATCATTACCAACCTCCTAGAAGACTGATTACTTAACTCCCTGCCTTGCCTGAGGTGAGGGTTCCTCTTAAACAGGACTGGAAAGGAGACCCTTCCAGCCAGGTTAACCCGTAGGCTCGAAGAACTGTTTCAGATCACCTACTTTCAGATCACTACTATTAAGAGTCCAGTTCCTTTCAGTTTATTCCATGTGAATTACCATGGCTCTTCATAAGTTTTACCAAATGTAGAAAAAAGAAACTCAGGTGGTCAAAAGAGGTGAACAGCAAAGCCCCTACAAAGAACTATTTTAAAAAGGGGAGGGTACGAGGCATCTCTCAAGTCTTAGTACAATTTTAAGCTTTGATACTTGTGGAAGTATAAATGCTACCAACTTACAAAACACCGTTTGAAAGTGTGTAGTTATGTCTTGTAAACTTACCTAGCTTTGTAAATTTTAGATACTAGACTTTTCGATGATCGCCCCTCTTGGAAGATGGCAAATGCTGGCTGGAACAAAAAAATAGTTAAAACGAAAAACTATTTTTTTGTTCCGGGGCCAGGAACAAAAAAATAGTTAAAACTAAAAACTATTTTTTTGTTCCGGGGCCAGGAACAAAAAAATAGTTAAAACGAAAAACTATTTTTTTGTTCCGGGGCCAGGAACAAAAAAATAGTTAAAACGAAAAACTATTTTTTTGTTCTGGGCCAGCATTTGCCATCTTCAAGAGGGGCGATCATGGAAAAGTCTAGTATCTAAAATTTACAAAACTAGGTAAGTTTACACGACATAACTACACACTTTGAAATGGTGTTTTGTAAGTCGGTAGCATTTATACTTCAGCAGTGCCCTGGAGGGCCCAAGCACACTATATTAAAGCTTAAAGTTGCACTAAGATTTTCAGGACACCTCCTTTTCACTATCTGCTTGTTACCACCGGACCACCATGTTGGCTGGAATTATGAAAATATCTTTTAATACACGTATTTAAGAATGGAAAATCACCAGAAAATGAGAAGCACCATTATAGTTCACAAGAAATGCAGCATGGACCCAACAGAAGTAGATAATCGATAACATACTTTCTCCATTTATGGTTCTCAACATACTAATATGCTAATAAGTAGTGCTTGCAAAGAATCTGAATGACAAGTGTTACTCAGCAGCTTTTTGGTTTAAACTGATTGCCAATAATGACTAGCAGCTTCAATGATAAAATAGGGAGGAAGAACCCTTCAATACCTAACAATGCTACAGTCTGTTCCTAAGTGGCTTTATGAGTTGTTAGGAGTCCCATGTTTTCATGGTAATACTGCATTGATTCTAAAGAAATATGCAGCAATATTGGGGGAGAGGGCAAGAAAAAAAATAGGAAAAACAAAAAAGTCATATAGTTAGTGTCTAAAAATTTGAATTAAAAAAGAAAAAACCTCTCAGCTCATAGCTATCAACCAATATAGTAAGCAAATATCTGTGTGTGGGTTGGAGCTTTTGCTTTGGAGTGGTTTTTGTAACTCTGTTTACATTAAAAAGGACAAAAGAGTGTTGCAATGACAAAGTCCCGTTCTTTCCTATGAGCATAATCCTTGTGGTCCATGAGTCTTGAATTCGAGGTCTTTCTTTTAGATGAAAATATTAACTTTGCTGGTTTGTGAGGAGGAGAGGTGGTATTTCTCCAGTCCTTGTAGAATGAGGGGTTCACGGTGTTCCAACCCCTCCCACACCTCCCTTAAGAAAGGATGGCATTAGAGCGCTGAATACCAATGAAATTATCAGCGCTGAAAGACCTTCTCATAGCAGCTCGAGACCAGTCTTTGTATTTGTCATCACACAATCTGGAAATGGCCTGGGAAAGTCAAATAGAACACAAGAACAATTAAAAAAGAGGGTTCCAGCCTTTAAAAAAAAAAAAAAAAAGCATCACTGATAAGCCACATAGTTACTGCTACCCTGGATAGCGGGGGTCTACACACCCAGGTTCTGAGAATGCTACTTCCTGCCAATTCACTAAGGTAATATCCTTAAAAGGCTAGGATTAGATTGATGGGCAAAGAAGAATTTGCTTATTTACAAATTGGATTCCAAAAATGTCAAAGGTATTCTGACGGGCTCCTAACAGCAATATCACCTGTTCCTGGTACACCTGTTCCTTCAACGTAATGAACATACACCTGGGTGAAAATCAGCATTTACTCAGCCATCCAACTTCTAGTCTTCATTGGTTCTTTTATCCTCTAAGCGAATTCTAACAGGGCAGGCATGTCTGGGCTTTGTTGGAAGGTCAGAGGTCTAATGACCGAAGCACCAAAAAGTGCTATTTCACCTGCACATTAACCATCGCAGAAAATAACTTATTCTAAGCTATACCAAGGTGCCACAAAAGTGTCCATTTTAAATGTGTTTTGAAATTTCAGTTGTGAATAACTCTGCTGTATACTCAAAGTCCTAAACCATAATGACTTTGTCTCTTATTTGTTACCATTCCATTAAAAATCCATGAACTCTCTACAGCAGTACTGGAAACACACTTTGTACAGTCTAGGTATAGATCTCTCAGGTGAGCCATGCTTTCTCTAATAAACTCATGGGACTGACCTGTGTTATCTGTAGAAAACACTGGCATGAATTTGCAAACTGAGTAAAAAACAGTTAAGAATGGTGGATAGATTATGTACATAGATATGATTAGGAATATAATCAAACTATCCACGTATGATTATATGGAAAGGTAGAGGCTCAAAGGGAAAACCATCACCATTAGGAACAGGTTAAATTTGAAAAAAAAAAAAAAAAGGTTAAATTTAAGATATTCTGAACTATGGTTACAGAAGAAATATCTATTTTTTCATAATGTAAGATCCTCATATAAATCATAAAAGACAAAGGGAATCTGCCACCAAAGGGTTAAGCTCTTCGATGTTTTTTTTTCTTCGATGTGTTAATTTAAAAGCTTTCCATGTTGCTAATCACTGCTTAATGAGATTTAGCCACAGATGCTGGTTTTGGTGGCTAACAGAAAACCCCGCCTAATGATTTCACAGCCTTACCTCTAGGTTTTGTGCTCTTTCTTTGCTAAGAGGAGCAAACAGAAAATTCACGTTGTTGTCATCTGCTAAGGAGCGAAGGTCAAAGTAGTATTTGGCATAAACACTGGAGGGAACATTAATATTAAACTGAAGTAGCTCCAAAAAATGCCTTTCCATCTCATTCCTAAGGGAGGAGACAACAAAACCAACACAAGACAATTTTAGTCAATCGGGCAATCTTCAAAAGTCTCCTTCTGAGCTACTAGGAGGCTCTAAATTCTGTTTTGAGACAAACAGAGGCTACCCAGTAGCTCAGTAAACTCACGCTCAAACAAGGTACAGCTATTTGTGGTCCTTTCTGCATCCCAGCACTTTGAGTTTGGGACAAGGGGGAAGAGGTTATGGCCCTCTTATGCACTCCTGCTGCTGACTCAGGGGCTCATTCTTCAGAGTTCCATTAGTGCAGCTGTACGATTCAGGCTCCAGGCTCACTCACAAGGCCCCACTATAGTGATCAGATGAAAGGAATGATGTATGCTGTTTATTAGCTCTGAAGAACTCGCAGACATTTTCACCAGGCCGATAACAGGAAGGGGCTTATTGAAGTGGAGACGCGCCAACAAAAGGAGTGGGCACATCACCACGGCAACAAATGGATCCATCGAGAGCCACTGCTATTATCTCTGAGGGCGAAAACTCTTGAAGCAACAAGGATTCATCTCAAATAAATAAATAAATAAAGCTAGATTCGATGGAAAGGGGAATCCCCTCCCCCACCCCAGTACATGGGGTTGTGTCAAAGGGCACACATAAATGCAAGTTTCCGCTCACCTTAATCTTACTACGGCAAGAAATTGTCACTAAGACAGGCCAGGATGCACTTTTTAAACTCTGGAGGGCAGAACGATCAAAGAGATGCCTTGGCTAGACTAAACTCACTATGATCTGACCTCTGGTAGAGCACTGGACTCAAACAGCCTTTCTCTCGGGTTGGGAATGCAAGCCCGAGATGTGTCACCACCCCTTGCCAGAAGAAAATGAACACACCCGCAGGGGGCAAGTTCAAGAAAATAGGAAAGAAAAATGTTGGGAGTAGTCCTTTGCTCCACGTGACCACAGAAGCTCACTTGTTAAATGTTTAAGTAAATAAATATAAAATTTGCCACTTTCACGGTAATCCTTTTAAAAAATTACATAAAAATACCTGAACAAACACAAAGGAGCTTACTTTATAACATTTGGTTTCTTGGTTTTAAAGTTTTAATATTTTATCCGTTGGACAGATCAACAAATGTTGATGTTCTCCTCTCCTGTATGGTACGGGGAGCATTCAGAATATGAGCAGAGAGGAGGTTCGCATTTGTTGAATTTTAAACCCAATTGAACCTACTTCCAAATTTAATTTCCTGTTCATATGGCTGTGAGTCTATAGAAATGTAAATCAGATAATGTTTTGATAATCAGCTAATCAGGACTTAATTTACTAGAGGAATAAATGCACTTCACGATCCCTTTTATATTTTCTCCACTAATACATTTTAATTGTGTGGAAATACAGTACTTCATAGGATTAACATGTCTATTAATAAAGGTTTAATCACTGGAGAAAAGACTTATGCCTATAGAATATGCATCTTCTGGGTTTTTTGTTTTTTAAATAGCCAAATGGCTGAATAGCACACCATTTACAGGCACAGCAAATCTTCTGAATAGCAGCTGCTCAGTTTAACTTATTCTTTTGAAGGGGAACATATTCTAAAGCATAGATGTTGGAAAGTTTGAAGAAAAAGCTGAAAGACACCAATTTTTCAATTTAGACTCAAAATGAGACTATTTCAAATGGAAGTCAACAGCAGGGAGATAAAACAAATGTGTATTAAACACTTTGTTGTAATGCTTTCCAATTTCCAAAGATGATAAAAAGCAGCCTATTATAAACCTAGCTCCTGGTGCTGCTCTGTTTGTACACAAAATGTATTATTAGGGAAGCAGTCTTCCTGTAGCTAGGCACTGCCACCCCTGCTCCTGGAAAGTCACTCTTAGGAGCTTGCACACTTCGCAGCATGTGCTGAGGTTTTCACTAGAATCTGTCTCAGCCAGCTGCGTTGAAGGTTTTGAGAAAATTTCAGCTGTCACCATGGTAGGGCTAGTGTTCACGATTGCACATTTTTTCTTCTTTCAAGGAACCAGAGTTTGCAGACTGATGACTGTGGTGATCAAAGTCACTTTAGCTCCTGCAACTTCCAGAGCTACTTTGATTCGTTTCCAATTATTTGCCATTACATCATTTGCTACCATGGCTGCAAGCAGCATCTCAGGGCCCACTCGGTTTACACTACTATTAAGAGCCACCCTGACAGCCACCAACAATCCCCTTCTCCTAGTCACCTAAGTATCCTCACTTCAGTTGTAAATATGCACTTTGGTAATTCTGAATGACAATCTTATCTAGAGTAATGGGCAAAGGTAACAAAAACAAACCTGCCACTGCCTGCCATGATCTTAATCTTCCCATGCTGTTCTGTAGAATCAAGATGTGTTCTTCCGCATTTTCCCCAGATGCCACCCACAAAGACGTACATATGTTTTCACTCTCAGGCGGGCACCCTGAGAGCGTCTACTGGAAATACTTCACTGGCTCATCCTGCTTATCACCCTCAGGGCCCTCATGGAAGTCAGGGTGGCCAAATCGAAAGCCCTCACTGAGTCTGGTGTTTCACTCCCGTGTCAGCATGCCACCTGTGAGGAACACCCGCATGGCTAACAGAAGGCCCCGCAAAGCACTGCTGTGGTTCCGCAGTGCCCCAGGAGACCCTCAACCACCACGGGTATGTGGTGATATCCTAGTGATGCTTTTTGGGACAGCCTGAGAAACAGGAGCTTCCTAACTCCTCAGACCTATTTTTAAGCAGGTGCAATACTCCTAGCAGGGGAGGAGGCAGGAGCAATGGGATCTGAAACCTTCATACACGTGGCTACTTTTGTACCATGGTTTCTGGAACAACAGAACTTCAGATAAAAAGGAGAGAAAGACCAGCAGAAGCTGACTCGAGCTGAAGGTATAACCTCTCACTAGTCTGGAGAACCTAAGACCTTAATAGTGGCCAAACATTTATTTTAAAGGTCAGCACGGGCCTCTTAAAAATGGACTGGAACTGGCACACAGCTTTAAGAAAGCCATGAAGATACTTATGATACTGTGTTGATAGCCTGTAAAATGCCAAAACCACCAGAAAAATATACTTCAATTTACCACGCACATTATTAAAACAGTAACACATCAAGACCTACCAATTAACGATGGCGAACAGGAATTGCCATACCACAGCCAGATAGGAAGGCTGTAATTTTTGCCTATTTCAGTTCTCTGCCCAATGTAACCTTTAAAACTGCTTCTTAAAATGTAAACTTTACCGGAGCAGAGGCGGCGCTGGGAAATGGTTAGAAGTTCACCCAAACCTTACAGACTCACATGTCTTCAACTGTAATGTCCTTCAGGATTTGGCAGTAGTCCACATTCCATACAGCCTGATCGTCCCAAACCTTGGAGGCAAGAAGAATGGCTCCCAAGACAATTCTTTTCCAGTTAGTGGGACAAATGTCGATCTCAGCATAAGTTAAAAGCCTTTCTAAGTAAACCTGCAAAAGTAGAGCACTGGTCTTTGATTTTAGTTCAGTTTAAGTGCTGTGATAAGAACTGTTAGGAATGACAGATTGCATCTGTTTTTGACATGCCTTTTATTCTTACAAAGGTCTACAAAGACCTGGCTCCGCCAGCCAAAGCCAGCGGCCAGGTCACAGCCGTGGGTCAGATACTTCTGTTGCCTACTCTGCCCATGTGAATTCCTAGCCTTGGTCACGGCAATGAATGGATATCTCGGTGAAGGGCATCCTGAGCACAGGCACTGGGTTGTTAACCTTCCCATTCATAAAGGGAATTGATTCAGTACAAGTGATACAGATTCAAGCTGTTCAATGAACCCGAGTGCCTGCCCCGAGCACGGTACCCTACCTGGCTGGTTGTCACATGGTCATTGGTCATCTTCCAGATGACCTGAATACGTAAAACCCCGGGTCCTAGGAGCACGTTTGCCTTCCCCCTTCCACAGCAAGGAATCCTTCTGCGGCACAAGCCCGAAGATAAAAACTGGTGGTCAAGAGAGCCTCCCAGTGGCTGCCGTGTGGTGCAACGGGAAAGGAAGTTCAAACAGGTGTGCTTGAGGCCGGTCTTGCAGTATTCCTGTCAAGTATTCCTCTAGTATCTGGTGTCTTTTAAAGGAACATCTGTGCAAAGGCTAGTCCTCCTCTTGTTCCCTTATTCATCTTCACATCTCCATTATCATTTCATAATAATTTGTTTCTGTCTTACGTAACCTGCAGCTTAGTCAATTCTGCCGCTTTTAAAGTGCTAGAGACCTGCCAGGTTCTGCAACCGTGGGACTCCTCTAAACCTGCCGTGAGAGGACTCCCCCGGATTTCTTTCCCCTGTTTCAAAAGCCTGCTCTATAGAGACCTGGGCAGAGTTAACAGCTGAGGGAAGATTACAGAGGCAAGCCCTGATTTGTTGTTACTTCAAAGGGTGCTCTGCAGAAGAGTATATATGCCATTTGACAAGAAGAAAAGTCCAATTTTAGAGTGTTTATCATCTGAAGGTTGTCAGACTGCCAGTCAGATTTGCCCATATTCTCCAAACTTGACTGTTTTCAAAACAAATGGTTCTTAGAACACTGTATGTTCTCAGTGAAATTCTGCTCCCATTCCCCTAAAACTCATGAACCTCCCTACAAGGCTCAACTCCGTACTTTCTGGGAAAGCACTTCTGTAACACTGGCAATCTCTCAACTTCCTATCATCGTTACTGGCAAACTTGGAATCCACCCAACTTCATTTACCCCTTGGCTCTCCTGTGTCAGTAGGAATGAGATTTCCTTCTCACTGAAGTAACTCTTCTTTCACTTGTGCAGAACTGTTCACACAATGTCTTTTTGAAGAGTTTTTTCCTTCTCTGCCAGAGATCTTCCCCAATATGAATGTATTTATATTGCCCACGGCCCCCCTCCTCTTGTTTTGCTCACAGAAAGTGCCCCATGCTGGCTTCTCATCTCCTGGTAGCCCGCCGCCTGCCGCTAGACTCCCCAGGGGCCTTCACCCCAACTCTGCACTCAAGTCTTCCCTAGTAACCTAAAGGGCACTGCTACTGGCCTAGCCCCTGACTTAAGGCCTTGGCCTCCATCTGACTTAATCCTGTTCCAACCCATCGGCAATTTTTGTTACCTCTACCTTCATCAGTGATTTGACTGATTTCTATTTGTCACTTTGCAGCTGTATCACGGTCACTGCCTCCTTACCTCTCGTCCTCTGCTCTGACTCCCACTACAGTCTATTGTCCCCAGAGCAGCCAGGATAGCCTCTTACGAGCACTTCATACCCCTGCTCAAGGTCTGCCAGAGGTTTCTCATCAAACAAGTTTACCATCTTCCTAGGCCTGTGAGCTACTGGGCCCAGGAAGATATGGCACTGCCCTTCTGGAACCTCATCTCCCATGTTGTTCCTCCCGTTCTTCATCTGACCATTGGCCACTTCGCTGTTCCATGAAAACACAAGACATGTTCCCATCTCCATCTTGCCCTTGTCCCCTCTGCCTATAAGGCCAGAGCTCATATCTTCATCATGTGGGTCACGGTTTGGGTGTTACCCTCCTGTCCTGATCATGCTATCTCCAACTGGTGCGCCCCTCTAACCACTTTGCCCCTTCATGCTGCCTTCTCTTCTCAGGATTTAACCACTACCTGAAATATTCAGGTAACGCTTATTTGAAAAAACAAACAAAAAAACAACTCATCTCTTCCTCGCTAGGATATAAGCTATATAAAGGCAAGAACTTTATTCCACTTGTTTTCTCCTCTGTCCCCAGGACTCAGAATAGTGACACAGACTAGGTACGCAGTGGGTATGGAATGGGCAACTGCTTGGCAGCATTTGGCCTTTTCACCGCTCTCTCCTTGAACCTGTCTTGGCATCTCTTTTATTATTCCCTCCTGGTTCCTACCACTCTAGCCTCTCCTCTGACAACTTGTCCCCTAAGTGCTGTTTGTCCTTACAGATCTAGCTTCTATCCACTTTTTATTCTATCCTTTTCTCTGCATTTGAACAGCTACTAGTTAATTCCCTACCTCTAGCTTGGACTCATGCTCAGTTCCACATATTCAAGTGATGACTAGACAGTGTCACTCTGTCTCATGAGTATGTCATGCTTAACCTGTCTACAAAGAATAACCCCTCTTCCAACCCAGCTGCTCTCCCTTCTGGCATCACCTTTCGGTCCATAGGGGAGTATGACTCTTGCCTCCCTCCAGCATGGGCTAAGCACTCCAAATGGTCTGTAGTTCAACGACACGGCCCAAGCACCCACTGATGGGTCTCTACTCAAAAGCACAAATCTCCAATCCTAAATTCTAGCTGGATACTAAAGGAGTACAGGCACTGACCTAAGTATTCTTTCCCTCTAGACCATGCAGTTAACTTCCTCTCTGGGTGTGCTATAGACAGGAGTAAAAATAATCCCAGCTGCCTCCCACTTAAATAGGATTTATTTTTCAAATGATAAAATCTTACCACAGGAATTCTGTATGGATAACGTGAAGGTCCCTATATGGCTATAGCTTAGCAGGCTAACTAGCAAAGCCTTTCTAAGTACTTCTGGCACTATATTCCTGGGCAGATTCACAGGCAGGCACAAGAGGACAGCAGGGGTGGATTAACATGCATCAAGCAAGGCACAGAGAATTTAAGGCAATAGTTCTCAATCAGGACACATGTTAGAATTGTCTGGGGAATACAGGGATAATCTGGGATTCAGCTTCGGGCTATATCAAAGGAGTCTCCGCCTGTGGACCAGATGGTTTTGTAACTGCCTACCTACCCTATCCCTAGCCCCCCAGCACACCTCCTATGGGTATACCTGTGTGCACTGTGTGTACATTTGTGTGCTGAGGTATGGACAGAGAAACCAGAAATTTCTCCTGCTGCCTTTAATAGCAATTCTTTTGTAATGAAAAAACAATAGCAATGTTTTGAAGAATAAGGAGTACATTATTAAACTCGAATGTGTGTATTTTTACTTTTGATAGGTTTCTCTTAATAGACTTCTGATGATCATTTCAGGAACATACTTCTATGTGAAAAGCTGGACCATACCCTAGGCATAAGACAGAAACAGAAGAAAGAAGTAGCTTACCAAAGTTACTATTGCACATTCAGCTGTTAGCTGTGCAGCACTGAAAAGAGTACGAACAAATCTGTAAATAAATTTGTGTTCAGGATCATGCTTAAAGTATTCCTCCGGAACCTTTTCTCGCTGAAAAAAGAAAAAAATGCAGTGTAAGTATCCACTGAAGAAAAATACTTAAGTGCCCGTAACACCGTAGTCTTTATACTCGGGCCCACATGCCCCGTAAGATGATTTTGATTGGATGACATGTCTTTTAGTCTTTTAAATATAAACAATGGGATCATAATATACCATAGCAATTCAACACTACCATCTGTTAAAGAAAAATACAGGCATGACCTCAGAAAACGTATATATATATTCCTTTCTAACTTCCCCCTCCCAGAATTCTATCCAAACGTAAGTTATTTTTAGGCTCAAGAGTCTGGTTGATCACCACATTACACTTCTCTGCAATCAACTTTGAAAAAACATTTTTGAGGTGCCTCAGTTGGTTTTGGCTCTTGGTTTTGGCTCAGGTCAGAATCTCAGGGTTGTGAGATGGAGACCTCACATCAGACTCCAAGCTCAGCGGGGAGTCTGCTTGAGATTCTCTTCATTTCCCTCTGTCCCTCCCACACTTGTGTGTGTGTACATGTGAAATAAATATTTTAAAAATCTCAATCATTAAAAAAAATCTTTTTTCAGTTTCCTGAAACCATTAAGACTGTGCTGACCTATGCAATAGTCACCAGTCACATGTGTCTGTAGAGCACCTAAGGAAGCAAATTTTAAAATTGCTATTTTAAAGGATTTAAAATTTAAGTTGTTTTCTAATTTTCTTCACAGAGATCATAACATATGTTAGGTTTATTTGCAAATACTTATATTGTTTGTGGTTTCTGAAAATTATCTTTTGAAAAGATATACTTTCTGTTATCTGGGGACATTTACTCACTTTAGCTCACTAATTCTACAAAGCTGCAACTCAGTTCTTACTCTATCATATCCCCTATGCAACATTCCCTTGTAAAGTGATTAGATACAACATGGGGTAGGGAAGAAGACTTAAGATGATTTTTTACTTCAAGCTGGAGTAATTTTCTCCTAGTCATTAATTTCAAATCAAATCAGCATGAAATAAAGACAACTGCATGAGAGAAAAATACAACTTAATAAAACTGACACTGTGAGTGGTAAAACTGACACTTACTGTGAGTGGATGTGATCTCTCATCAAAAATATCCAAAGATCTATTTGCATCTCTATAAAATAAAAACATGCGTTTAAAAAATTATTTCAGCAACTAACATCTTAGTAAATATCTGCTGGGAGTAGAGAGGGGAGTGGAAGAAGCTTAACCTTCAACAAAGCAAACCATTTTACAAATTCTTTTGCATTAAGAGGGAGGGATTCCTCACCACTGTGAAATCTCTTCTACAGTGACCAGCCAAGCAAGCCAGAGCAGACTTAAAGAATACGGACTTTCCCTAGCAGGCAATGCTAGTAAACCAAATATATTTTCACTATTCTAACCCCACAATGGAATATACACGGATATTTATTTTATAAAGCAGTAGTGGTGGGCAATAAAGTCTTTAGAATTTAATAAATGTGATTATGAAATTCATGTTTTCTCTGTTTTTTTCTCTGTAGTTCTCTACATGTTATCACGTATTTCTTGTTTCTCTTAAATAGGCTGAGTTAAAAATGTAATTTTTTTAATTTTAAAAGAGATCAGTCTTTCCACTTAAAAGATCACACTAACATGTTCTGCTCATTTTTATTTTTTTAAGATTTTATTTACTTATTCATGAGAGACACAGAGAGAGATAGAGGCAGAGGTAGAGGGAGAAACAAACGGCTCCCTGCAGGGAGCCCAGTGTGGGACTTGATCCCGGGACTCCAGGATCACACCCTGAGCTGAAGGCAGATGCTCAACCACTGAGCCACCCAGGCTTCCCTGTTCTGCCCATTTAGACACTGGTTCTCCAGGTGTGGTCTGCAGGCCTCTATGGCTCCCCTTTTCAGGGGCCCATGAAGTAAAAAATGTTTTAATAGGAATACTAACGACGTTACTTGCTTATATACTTCTGACATTTGCAGTGACTATATAAAAAATAAAAGGGAGTAAAACTACTTGTTTCTTAGCATGAATCAAGGCAGTGGTGCCAGCTGTACCTAGTCATTCTAGTCTTCACTGCCACTTGCAGTTGAAAAAATATTCTGCTTTATTTAAGAACATCCTTGATAAAGCAGTAAGATTTAACAGTGTTATTAAACCTCTATCCTTCTAGTACTCTGAATAAGTAGAAAGTATATACCAAACACTTCTGCATGCTGAAAGACAGTTAAAGGAGAAGCATGTGTGACTTAGCTGTGAGCTGAACAAGCCACTTTTTTTCACAGAGCACCAATCTTTATTTTTAAAGTACAACTGACGGTCATTCTCTTAAAAATGAACAAAGTGAGGGGTGCCTGGCTGACTCAGTGGGTAGAGCATGTGACTCTTGATCTTGGGGTCATGAGTTCAAGCCCTATGTTGAGTATAGTTTACTTCAAATTAAACCTAAAAAATCTTTTTTAAGAAATGAACAAAGTGAGCCTGAAACTTCAAGAAAAATAACTTAAATATTTGTTGCCAATGATAAAATCCAGGCTATCAAGCTAAAAGAAAAATCAGGATTTTGGAAAATTTGTACCTTTTACTGTGACCTTCATCTATTGTGAGCTTGACAGTTTCTCAATACTTAAAGACTCTTCTGATAAGATGGGTGGTGATACTAACAAGTGATTTTTTTGACACTGTATGAAGAAACCTGAACTAGCACTTTCCAACTGACCGATTCATATTATAAAACCACATACAGGGCAGCCCGGGTGGCTCAGCGGTTTAGCGCCGCCTTCAGCCCAGGGCCTCAACCAGGAGACCCAGGATCGAGTCCCATGTCGGGCTTCCTGCAAGGAGCCTGTTTCTCCCTCTGCCTGTGTCTCTGTCTCCCTCTCTCTCTCTCCCCGTTTCTCTCATGAATAAATAAAATCTTTAAAAAATAAATAAATAAATAAAACCACATACAGGTAAAAGATCCAATCAGTGTGCAAGATAGATCAATGGGTTCCTTAGAGTACAAGTTCACTGTTACGCTTTAAAATTCCATTATGATTTAAGAAATTAGCACTTGTGGACTTTTAGTAAAGTATCATAGAGTATCCACAATTATCTGAAGCCTTTAAAAGTACACCTTTTTCCAACTACATATCTGAGTGAGGCTGAGTCTACTCCATATTGTTTCTTCAAAACCGATCACTGAGGACAGGATATGAAAATGACCTGTCTTCTATGAAGCCAGGTAGTAAAGAGATTTGTAAAACTGTAAATCAATGATATACTTTTCACTCAACCTTTTATTTTGGAACAGTTACTTTTTAATAAAAAAAAAAAAAAATTATGTTACCACTGGGGTTTCCAATCAGTGGAGATTCTGTTCCCCAGGGTTATCTGGAGACGCAGTGTGGAGGGAAGGAGACGTGCTACTGACATTTAGTGAGTAGAAGCCATGGGTACTGCTAACTATCCTAGAATGCACAGGATGATCCCACCCCCCCCCCACAACAAAGAACTATCTAGCTCAAAATTTCAATAGTGCCACATAAAAACCCTGTTCTAACATACAGTAGATTTAATTTTTAAATACTGAAATTTAATTTCTAATATGGTAAATATCAGTATAACCCACCATCAACAAATACTCTTTGGGTCTTCAGTAATGTAATAAAAGCACTATATAAGTTTAATAATACCTATATTGTTACCTAACACTTAACTTGATATCTTACAAATTAATTAGCTGGAATAAAAAGACAGATTTTAAAAGAGCTCACCTGTTCTTTATGTGGTAATATATTGCTAAGGTCACACTGTGAAAGGAAAAAGAAAATTGTAACAATTGATGTTATGTTACCCATGAAGACTTTTTTTTAAAGGGAGTTGGGGGAGAGTCAGGATCCTTCCAGGGGCCCAGGCGCCCTGAAATCCTCTTATTCAGAACAGTTCGTATGTGCACTTTCCCTCTTGTTTTAGTTCTTTGGCTTTTGGCAAAAAAAAAAGGATTACCAAACTGCTAGATTATACACTGCTAGAAGATCTGTTTTGGTCCACAGTTATATATAAATTATTATACATTTTCCCTGTCATTTGTCCTTCTACCCACAAAACGTTTCCTCCTCCTAGATAAGCTTTATTGTTTGTACACACGCTTAAATTTTAGCCATACAGTAATTTTTGTATTAAAAAAAAAGAAAAAAAAAGGTTAGGCCCTGCATTTCAACGGATTTAATTTACTATCCATCAACCCGCCCACTTTCCATTATTTCCATAAAAGAAAATAGTGTTTCATATCAAATAAAATAATTTAAAATCATAATTAGAAAATTTAATAGCAAATATAAGAACCCACAAAAACAATAGTAGGTCTAGCTATCCCGAAATAAGCAGTGCTAACAAGGCAGCATAATACTACACAGAGTAATATTTAATGACAGGTATTTCCAAAATAGTTTAAATAAAATATTAATGAACAGATACACTCTAAGTTACTATATTCTTAAGTTATTCACAGATGTTTTGTACTAGGCAACAAAGGAGTTCTCCTAGTTAAGTTAAATGCTTCCCTTTGCCCTCAGTATCTACAATGAAGCTCAAAACAATTGAGGGAAGGCAAATCTGAATTTTATAACTAGGTCTATAGAATATGAGCACTTGCGAAAAAGGCCTCTAATGCTATTAGCATCGAAGATGGATACTTCTATAGTGCTTCAAACAGTTTCAATCTTTAATTTGATTTTAAAATCATAGAATCCAAGTTCTATGATGAAAAGGACCACTAAATCTTAGATAGCATTTAATTAAACAACCCATTTTACACATAAGGAACCAAGGCTTAAAAATGACTTGCCCAAGGTCCCACCAATGGTCAGAAGCAGTTCTCTTTCTCCTACACTCTAACCAGGCAGTGGTTCTTCAAGCTTGGCTGCATGCTAGATCACCTGAGGAGCTTCAAAAACTGCTTGGCTTCCACCTCCAGATGTTCTGACTTAACCAACACTGGATATAACGTGGGCATCAGAAAGGCTTTTAAAGTTCTCCACGTGACTGCAATGTGCAACGAAATCTGGGAATGAATAAGTCATCTCGGATACTTTCGTACATATAATTATGTCTCATATCCTTCCTCCGATCAAAAGGCTTGTGAGAGTGTGGTAGGAGAGGAGGAAATACATGTATTTTGAAATAGAGATTTTTGGAAAACGTTGCATAAATGATTCTAATAAGCTCCCCCACACTGAGAACATTGTGCTACCCCCAACGTAAACATTTTTCAGAATCATTCCTAAAAGCCAATTTGCCCTATTTTCTCAGTAAACCTTTATCAATAAATATACTAAATTATTTTTAAAACTTAATGAGAGCAAATTAAGTTTATTGTACTCTCACAAATTAGACGAAGCTGGGAAAAACAAGCATGAAACCTACTTGTTTGAGCAAGGTTAATCTTTAAAACCACTTTTGAATTATAGTAAAACATCAGAATCTTTTGAATTCAAAAGCTGGGGACTCTAGCCAAAGTAGAGTTTTTTTGTTTTTGTTTTTTTTAAAAAAACACATGGATTTAATGTCTTGGCTGAGTAAAAGCATTCAGTGATTACTTGCTAGGTGCCAAAACTTAGAATTTTAGACTTTTGGGGCTCGGTTTTTGCTGAAACACAATTTGATCTCAACTACTGTTACAAAGGATAAAGTTACATTAATATGATTGTGAACTTGTGGTTTTTAATTAAAGTAAAAGCTACTGATAATTTAATTAGCTGACAAAGCTGGTGCATTAGAAGCAAAATTAAGTTTATAATTGTTGCTAATTGTTTTCAAGACTGAAAATAAAATTAAAGATGAGGATATTAATATTTTGAAGTAGTGTTCTGGAAAGTCGACATTCATGTCCCAAAGAGATGTTAATAATGTTCTTTGGCCCAATCTCGAAGTCCAGAAGCTCTGCATGTCCAGGTCTGTTTTTTCTCCCTCTCTTAAATAAACTTGAAAGGTTCATCTTAGACTATTCTGAAAGTGCAACTCCAATTGTGGATTACGAGGTGCTCCCGGAAATTAAGGAATAGTTTCCATCATCACAACACTGCTCATGTTTGCTGAAGTATAAACCTGACCACAGCTATGTTTCCAAAACTATTTCTTTCATTGTTCTCTGCTGTAGTTTTCTTATATATGGACTGACATAGTGTTCTGGAGATATATTTCTATATCTATACACATATATAAAATAAAAATTAAATAATCTATTAACTTATAATTTTCAGTTGAGCAAAATTTCATCCATAAAGAAAATAAGCAGAAGAATCTGTTCCTTAAGATTGGTTTGGTATATTTTCCCCCTCTTCGGGAGAGAGAAAGGAGAAGTTAACTTTCATACAGAAATAGTGCAGGAAAAAAATATGCACGACGGGGAAAATCTGACAAAAATCCAATCAAATTTAAATGCAGATACTCTCTGGTGCCAGTAGGGGGCAAACTACTCCTTATTTCAAGAGTAGCATCCAAAGTAATTAATGCACATTGTTTTAGGCCTATAATTCATAAAGAAATGCTTTTTTCTAGAAACAGCCAATAAAAAGCACCTCTCCTCCTCATTATGTTCAACAGAAATGTATTAAGTAAGAAGTGTACTTTTTCTGGGACTTATTTGCTGGCTGGCTTTCCCTTCCACCATGCACTCTAAAGATTAAAATGGAAATTAAAGAGTCACAGAATTTAAGTCCTTGAAAGTAATATAAAATTGACACCAGTTTCTTAAACCTGATCATTTAAAAGGACAATCAAATGACTGAAATGACCAAGTATGGCTAGGATGGTTTTAGCATGAGGGGGGGTCTGTCACTCAGCCCTTGGCAACCTAGTTGTACTCACCATTTTATTGTGGTTCTAAGATTAGGTTGGCTGACTGTGCTGTCATCTAGAAATATTGTTGAGCATGAGCTATACTTTTTAGTAAGCTGCCCTGGAGATACCTGAAGGGGAAGGGAAATAGAAGAAAATGTCACAGTAAGTTAAACCTATAAAGTGTGTTTTTTCCTCGGTTAAAATGTCAAACGATAAAGCATTAAGGTTTTTCTTATACTTCATGAACTGCTTGAGTGTGCTATCATGTGCAGCTCTATGGGAAACCCAGTGGATACTCTAACCTCCCACATGAGATTTAAGGAATGGGTTATAAACTACTGCCCTTGATAAATTATCTATTACCAAGTCTGGCAAGCACCTATTATAAATTCCCTTTATAATAATTTAAGAAGCTCACAATAAGATTTCAGTGTTTTTTTCTTAAGTAATGAAGAGCAGCTGAGACTTTCTATTTCTACTATTCATTTACTACAATAAAATGTAATGCCTTATATAACACTGGTGCAAGAACATTTTGTTGCAGAAAATGAAAGCCCATAATAAATATATCAGTTCAGGAGACAGTGTGATGAATCAAATGTTCTTGAGTCAGAGGCTATTTGTGCCAGGGTTTGCTCTATTACTAATAAGCAAGAGGGCCATAGGTCTCTCTGGGCCTCAGTTTCCTTATCTGGTGGACAAGAGAGCATTCCTTTAAGAGTCTCACATCCAAAAAATAGATAAACTAGCTTATGAGAACTTAACTTTAATCTTATGTTTAAATAAGACTGCCATCACATTACTCAAGTGATAACCTCAGAGTACTCTCCATTCATTTAAAATTTTTATTAATTCTATTCTGTAAGTTACTTGACACTCATCTCAAGTTCCTGCCTCACTCATGCTGGTTTCTTTGCCTACAATGCCTTTTTCTTCCTCCTTGTCTGTCCCAGCAAGCTTGACCCCATTGACCTCCAGGATACCTTTGCCAGCAGCCACATCACAAAACTTCTCCTTTTTCTGTATGCTCATACTTCTAATCTGCCACTAGTTAGTGCTATCAATTGCTTGCAGGGTGTTCCCCTCATAAGAAAGTAAACTCCAGGGAAGGGAAGACTCTTACTCCTCCTACCTACAGCTACTACTGAACACAGAATCTGGGACAAATTAGGAGTTCAATAAGTGTCTGATAAATTATTTAAAATCAATTACAATTGGAAGGTAAATCTTACTACAAATTAGTGAGAATTTATCTGCAATGTTGTCAGAGAGGTGACAATGAACTTCTGGAGACCCTGCATAGAATAAACCATCTTTAAAACACTTTAGAAGTATCCATTTATCTGTGAAGAGCCTGAATATATACCAACAAATACTGAAATAGCCTAAACTATATTAAGATAATTCTCTTCCTTAATGTAAGACCAATATACAAATTCCAGTCACTCTAAGTAGTTAAAAATAATAGCAGCATTGAATACCAAAGAATATCAACAATTTAATGCTTGGTTTTGTTGGTTTTTTTGTTTCTATTTTTTACTAATTCAGATGAGCCTTCCTTCTTCCTATTAATATAAAATCGCATTTGCCGTGCTGTCACACTCTCCTGTCAGCATCCCCCTCCTATACACGACAGATGGGGCAAGGAAAAAATCTAGTTGATACTTTTTAAGATATAGAGCATTTAAAAACTGCCAGTAGCCAATAATCAGAAATATCCACGTGGCATATAAAAACACCATTCTGCTTATTTCAGATATTTTCCTGCAAAGCCATTTACCTATTAACAAAAAGTTCCAGACATTCTATTTTTGAAAAGAATCACTAAATTCTCCTTCAAGCCAGAAATGTTCAACTCCATCTAGAACTGTTATGCTCCTTAAGCTATTCAGTTAATATGTTATTTTAATACTCTCAAATACAGCATGAAAAATGAAGGTTAACTAATTTAAATACTTTTGCTCTAAATGGAAGAAAGTTTTCTTTTCAGACCACTACTAGTAAGGTGTATATGGTATATATTACATCATAATAAAAGTAAATTCTGGGGAGTCATAAAAAGAATAGGAAGAAAACACACCAAAATACAGACTAGTTGGTAGAGTTCTAAATTATTTGCTCCTACTTTCCTCCCTTGAATTTTTTTCTATTATGAATATATATTAGCTTGTCTTTGAAAATATTAGTGTGAAACATTTAAAAATTTTAACTAGATGTGATCTTACAGCCATATGGGGGGATGGGGCTAGTGAATCAGCAACTTAAGTCTATTACTGGCTAGATCCAACCAAAGAAACATTCAACACTTCTCATCAGTCCAGGCCTACTTCTGAGTATTCAGTAATACCTAGCATTCAGCTAGAGGGCAGCAGAATTAAGTCTCTGGGCAAAGCCTAGATACATCAGCTGTAATTATTTATTAGCTTAAAAATAGCTGAAATTTTAAGACAATTGTCTTTTATGGTTAAAGGCTTAGGATTGCCAGCTTTCACAGCCTCGATAAACTACACTGACAAACACAGGGTTATAAAATGCAAATACTAAAAAAACAAAAACGAAAAAACATCAAATAGCAAACACAGTATTGGCAGTTTGGTGTTCATAGATATTATTTCAGTTGGTTACTAGGATAGACAGGGACAAAAGCAGTATTTATATTTACTCATTCAGCACTAACAGAATAGATGGACTTTTACAATCTTTAACACAAAGGTAAGGGGTTATTTCACAGACTTCTGGTTCGATGGCAAAAACTAGAAAATAATCATACATAGACATCTGTGGGGAAATCACAACCCAAATCTTACCATCAAAGGTCAAACATCTGTTGAAATCCTGTCCCCCCCGCCCCATGGGCTTGCCCATTGTGCCTACTGCTAAAGCTCACTTTTGTGTCTCCATTTTCACAGTACAAGTTCTTTTTCCTAAGACAACTTAGAAATTTCTAACACTATGCATTAATGAAAACTGCTTCATCCATGTTGCACATTAACGGGACAATATGACAGGATGCATGGCATGAATTCTTAATCAAGGCCTTAGTGGAAAAGTGCAATATGCTAATTACAGGTATAACTGAAAATACTGTCTGAATTAATAACAGTAATTAAATTAATAAACACTTTAAACTCAAGTCAATCAGAGAAAGACAATTATCATATGATCTTACTCATAAGTGGAATTTAGATTTACACTTTCAAAACACATTCTGAGTTGAAGACATGGTGGACTCATCACAAATCTATTTCCTCTCCCTCTCCTTTCAGAGTTATACTCAACATAGGATATAAATAGCAGGTGCTTTTTTAATGTTTGAAAAGTGAAAAAACTAGACAAAGGAGTGGCAACTGACACAGCAGAAGAGACAGCACAAGCTGGATGCCTACAGAGACTGGGACAGGAACAAGAAAGCCAGTTTGTCTTACAGAACCTCAGGCAGGCTCAGAATTCAGAGAGTCAGCCCCCAAATGCCCGCGGTGAGGCCCATCATTTAACATGCCCTGCTCACCTGGGGTTCTTCCAATGAGACCTTAGACACAGGCAAGGATCATGACACATTTGAGAGAAGACTCCAACAAAAGAGATCAAAATGGGAAAAGAATTGATGGGAATGATAAAATTAAGAACCAAATAAAAACTTTAAAAATTCTTAAAAACTCTAAGATGTAAATGGCACTGGTGAAAAATAGATACTATAAAGAATGACAGACTATAAGAAAACTCAATAAATTAAAAATAAGATAGAGAAAACTCAGGATATTAAATAGAGATGTGTTAGAACATAAAGTCAAAGAAGTCCCCAAGACGTAGAACAAAAACACAAAATGGAAAGCAGAAGGGGAAAAAAATCAGAGATCTGTGCAGGAAAACTGGAGACCATCTAAGAGGTACAACATCTGAATAACAGAAATATCAGAACAAAAACAAAAAGACACTAAAAATTTCACTAGAAGGAGAGATGGTCTGCAGACTTACTGGCCCCAATGAAATGAAAAGCTCCATATCAAGCCATATTATGAAATTTCAGAATCTCAGACATTGAGAAGATGCTAGGTTGCAGAGAAAGAAGGGATGGGGGAACAATGATTAAAATGGGTAATGTACAATGTATCACACAATGTCAACAGATTTATGAGCAACATTGTAAATGAGAATACAGAGATGTCTGCAGAACTACAAAAATTAATTTCAACCTAGAATTCTCTACTTTATCAAAGAGCAGGAGTTTTGGAGAAGCTAGATCTCTAAAAACTTCTGCCCATTCCCAGAAAAATGTGCTCCATTAAAACAAGGGCATATAACAAGACAAAGGGAAACACAGAATCTAGGACATAGGGGATCTGACACGAGACAGCAGTTATGTGAGATCTCAGATAACTTCAAGGAGATATCCCAGGAAAACAAACACAGAGCCAGCCTACTGAAAACCAGTCTAGTCTACTGAAGTAGAATGACAAAAGCCTATCTCCAAGAAAAAAAATGGAACAGATGTGTTTTAGTAAACGAAAAAAATTTTTGATGGACATGTGACAAATGTTACCACATTTGGGGGGAAAATTTGCTGTTAGAAAATAGGCGAGTGCATATCATCAGGAAACTAATTCCACAAAAAAAACGAAGAATGTGAAAGCGGGAAGACCCGCCAGGGAGCTATTTAACGGCATTTGGCTGAGATCATGTTGGCTAGGAAAATGGGGGATGGATTATCCTGGAGAAGTGCAGAAGTGCTCAGGTTTCAGAAATATTTAAGAAAAAGAATGGAGCGTATACAGGAGAAGGCTCAGCAGAGGCTCTGCCATAGGCAGAGAACTATGGCTCAGCAGGGAACATTATTTGCACAGTCATAACAACATAAACATTGATTCTAAGATAATTAAAACCTGATACAGGTTGAGGGAACAGAGGCTGGGAAATAAGGAGTGATGAAGCTAAGCTTTCACCTGGCACTACAGGAAGTAGACAGTGCTAAAGATTAACTTAGGTATTATATTTTTGTTTGGCTAAAAAATCAAAAATTAAAGCAAAAAAATCAAAGGCAGAACTTACACCATACCCATGTTACTGAAATAAGTTAAATGTCAGACCCCTTAAAAAATGGGCACTACTAAAGCCAAAGACTTCCTGAGTACAAGTGACAAAATGAGGAGACTAGAAGAGATTTAGGAAATCTATAAAAAGATGTCCTAACAGTGCTCACAGTATTGGATCCATTATATTTTTGAGAAATAATGGCAGACATAATTTTTAATTCAAACTATTAATTTCTTACTTAACTTTTCAACTGTTTACTTACATGGTTTAAATGGTTGCTCTTCCTCTTTTCTCGCACTAAGAATAAAAAAAATTAACTGATCAATTCTGATACAAATGCCACAGAAAAGTTAAAGTAGTTGCGACTTATCTGACGGATTACCAACACATAAAATGAGATGAAATTCCATTTTTTAAATTTCCAAACAAAATTTATAATTTAAACCACCTACCAAGATGAATCCTATAAAGTAAAATCTAAAAACTTAGTTTTATTTTTTGACCTAACAAAAACAGGTATTCTTTGTTAGGTACAAGCAAAAGACTCCCCAGGTACAAAAGAAAAGGACAAAGCAAACGAGGCCAGGTGAAAAATTTATTAAAAATGTTTACCTGTTGAATATCTGAACCACTATACAGTATTTTCTAATTCTATATTCATATACAACTTACTTTAATTATCAAGATCTGACAGCTCTAAGAACCAGTTTCTGGCCAGGCACTAATCTCTAGATGCATCAGTATCCTGGAAGCATCCTGAAACACTTACTGGTGATCTACTAAAATGTGTTACTAAAAAAAATAAATGGGTATTACACAATTGGAAGCTATCTATCTTAAATTTATATTTTAATGAGCATGCTAACCTAACTGAATATATCTACAGCACACAAAATCACATTGCCTTAAAGATCAGAAGAATAATAAAAGCTCCTATGAGGGTCTTGGACCCCACTGTTTCCCACACTGCCTCCTTTAATGGGGGGTGGTGGTGACAGCATAGGTACACATTGCTTATGACTGAGGACAAAGAGGAGATAGCTTTGCTTCCATGGTCTCTACACTGTCTACATGTGGGCAGCCCATTTTCTGGAAGAAACGAGGAAATCTAGCAATCCTAACCAGAAGTGATCTGTTTAAGTCAGGCTATGTACATACACTATGAAAATGCAGGTTAAAACCCCCCATTTTTTATTGTGCTGCATATTTCAAATATCATGGAATCCTTGCTTTTTATATTCCTGCTGTCTTCATCAACTGAAAAACTTGGTCATGTATACCTTTTTAGTTCAAATAAAAAAGAATTTAATATAACATTAAGAAAAATAGGGATCCCTGGGTGGCGCAGCGGTTTAGCGCCTGCCTTTGGCCCAGGGCATGATCCTGGAGACCCGGGATCGAATCCCACATCGGGCTCCCGGTGCATGGAGCCCGCTTCTCCCTCTGCCTATGTCTCTGCCCCCCCCCCCTGACTATCATAAATAGAAAAAAAGAAAAAGAAAAAGAAAAAAAGAAAAAGAAGCAGGCAAGCAGGAGTGCTAAATCCTACAGTTCTGATTCTCATTCTAAATCAAGGACACGGGCAATTTATACTGGTCTCCCTTGTTGAAGCTAACCTTCTAGGAAATGCCACAGGGCATGTTTGTTCCCATGTATCCTGGCACATCACTATATCAGAATGAGAAAATTTTGAATAGCTCAAGTTCTGAGTAGAAAAAATGCGGATGTGAGACGAGCTTGGTTGAGCATGGTGTAAAATGAATCCCCATGAATGAACAATGGATTTTTTTTTTTTTTGATTTGTTAAATGAAAACCTAACTGCGGCCTAAATCCTATCACTCATCTTTAAAACCTGTGTTCTCTGGAGCAAGGGGAAAAGGACAAGGTAGTATGGAAAATTAGACCATGTCTAAATCATGTGGTCACAACTGTGTTGATAAAGAGGTGGGCAAAATATGTAAGCAGTCTCCCGCATTCTGCTCACTAAATCAGTAACTAAAATATATCATCACATACTGCAATAAGATATGACTATATGAAAAAGTGAAACATTCAAACCAATGTAGGAGTTCTTCTAGGGACTCTCTATAAACCGTTTTCAATCATTTTCTGAGGAAAAAAATACTGTCTTACCATCCGTTTGAGATTTGCTCAGGAAAATTGTGCTTGCCCTTGGATGGTCAGAAGGGTTTGATTCCAAAGCTAAATCTGTATAGGAAAAAAGAGAAAAGGGTGTCAACTTGAGTAGAAAAATGCATGATTTTAAAAATAACTACACGTCAATTTTTTTTTTAAGATTTTATTTATTTATGAGAAACACAGAGAGAGAGAGAGAGAGAGAGAGAGAGAGAGAGAGGGAGAGAGGGAGGGGCAGAGACACAGGCAGAAGGAGAAGCAGGCTCCATGCAGGGAGCCCAACGTGGGACTTGATCCCAGATCTCCAGGATCACACCCCCGGGCTGAAGGCGGTGCTAAACCACTGAGCCACCAGGGCTGCCCCTACACATCAATTTTAATCACCTAGCAGTCTTGGAGAAAGTTTTTAGTAAAGATAAAAAGTCAATTTTATTAAAGACAACAATATAAAAATTATACTGGAAACTGCAAAATTGTAGAATCTCTCCATATACGCAAAATAAAACCAGGCTAAATAATAAAACTTGTGCCTAAATGATATATGCAACTTTTATTTTTTTAAAGATTTTATTTATTTATTCATGAGAGACACAGTTAGAGGGAGAAGCAGCTCCATGCAGGGAGCCCAATGCGGGACTTGATCCTGGGACTCCAGGACCACACCCCGGGTGGAAGGCGGCACTAGACCGCGGGCCACCCGGGCTGCCCTATATGCAACTTTTAGATGGAATTATGTATGTGCCTTCCCCTTCCTACTTATCAATTAAAAATCCCATCACCATCCTTTAAGCTGATATTACTAGCATATTCTAGAAGCAGTCTCAAGAAGCAAGTTCTGCTGTGGCTAATTACTGTCAGATACCAGCTCAATGTATCAAATATGCCAAAACCAAACAAGCTGCTTTTGGCAAGCAAATGTTCTTAAGACAGTCAAATAGCTAATCCTAACTCCATTCAACAAATGAACTCATTTAGTTAGCTGTGGTTTATGTGGGGGGCTATCCATCATGACAGATTCAAGCAAATTGTATAAAAGTTCAAGGTTTTTAATCTACAGGTACACTTCCATCATAGTAAGTAATTTTTAACTTTTGCCCTCAATTTCCAAAGCTAAACTCCTACTTTTTCCATCCATGCTGACTGATTAATTTGGAGCTTCAATAAGAGTACTTTCTGGAGCAGACCATGGGGCTACTTGTAAGAAATTTTGTTCTTTACCTATTTAAAGGAACGTCTGCCTGTACTCCACCTTGCACCAAGGTGGGAAAATTCTCTAAGTACACAAAAATACAAGACAGGTACTTGAATTTTGATAAAACATGGTTCGCCACCATATGGAATAATAAAGTTGTCATTTTTTTTTTTAAAGATTTTATTTATTCATGAGAGAGAGGCAGAGACATAGGCAGAGGGAGAAGCAGGCTCCATGCAGAGAGCCCCACGCGGGACCAGGGTCTCCAGGATCACGCCCTGGGCTGAAGGCGGCATTATACCACTGAGCCACCTGGGCGGCCTAAAGTTGTCATTTAAAAACAAAAAAACTCTCTGGTGTGTCTAAGATTCCAAACAAAATGATCCCTGCATCTTCTCAAGACACTTAGTGACAGTCTGAGCAAGAAATTGGAAATGCAGAAATAGGTTTTTGTCTGGTTGCACATTATCTTTGTTCTTTTAAAGTTCTGTGAGCTCTGAAAGGTATTTTTGGGTTACTTCATTGGTTCCTTCATTGTGTTTGACAAGAGAGCTTGATAATTCTATCAAACAAATGACTTTCATATTGCAACCTTTGGAAGATCCACTCAAAATTCTCTTAACAAAAAAAACAAAACAAAAAAAAAAAAAAACCTCCTTATGACACTCCTCACCAATGCGCATCTCCAAGTACTTAGCCAATCTTGTAAGAAACCAGACCAAGATACTGACAGAATAATGGTTAAGTCTAGTATTTCCCAAACCACATAACTGTTCTGTTTTTAAAAGGGGTGTTGGCAGTCCCATGGAAAATACTATCCCTGGATTTTAGAGAATCAAAATGTCCACTGATATATTAAAAACTAATCAGTCTTCTAGTGAATTCTGTGTAATCTAGCATCTCACAAATTTATCTACATAGAATCCTTTTTTCCTCCAAGTAATATAGTTAGAATCTTTCACAAACATCATTTGGGACTTCCTGGTTTAACAGGAATCTGAACCATCCATTTTAATAGTACTGCCAGCACTAGAAATTTACATAGCTAAACATAGCTTTGTTCTTCATGGAAATTCCTTCTCTGAATTTGAAGTTTGTTAGAATGCTTTTGGAGAAACTATTCTATTCAACATTTTTATGTAAAAGGACCATAAAAATTAATTTTTTTTCACATATTTGAAAAATGAGACAATGTTAGCTATTTGGAAAATAAATGAATTCAGCTGTGCTCAAAGTGACAAAGATTTTCACAGCTGCCTCTAACCTAAGGCTTCCTAAGGGGTTCATGACCAACTTCTTACTGAAAAGCAAGCAAATATACTACATATCAATCTAAAAAATAAGCAGAAATGTTTGCAGAAGTAAACATATTATCAATCAGTGCCTATGGCACAAAAGAAGTTAATTAAAACTTTTCAATCAGAAATCCAGGAAAAATAAGTGCCAGACTCAAAGGGCAGCAGGCTACTCCCCCCCCCCCCCCCCCCCCCGCCCAAACCAATATGTGCTACTATGGATCTAAATAGTAGAGACCTTGGATAAAAGAAATAGCAACATGCAGGAAAAAAGCAAAATTAGCTCAGTGACAAGAAGGAAACTGACACTTCCCCTACACCAATAGGGGTTCTAGGCACATGCCCAAAGCTGGGCTGGCCACTGCTGCCTTGGGACTTCCCAAGAACCACTGACTGAGAAAGGCAGAGCTGCGGCGCCTGGGTGGCTCAGTCGGTTAAGCATCCAACTCTTGGTTTCAGCTCAGGTCATGATCTCAGAGTCTTGAGAGAGGGCTCATGACATTGGGCTCCATGCTCAGCGTGGAGTCTGCTTGAGATTCTCTCTCCTCTACCCTTCTCCTGCTCATGCTTTCTCTCTCTCTAAATGAATAAATCAAATCTTTTTTCTTAAAGATTTACTCATGAGAGAGAGAGGAAGAGGCAGAGACACAGGCAGAGAGAGCAGGCTCCATGTGGGGATCCCAATGCAGGACTCAATCCCGGGACCCCAGGATCATGCCCTGGGCTGAAGGCAGGCGCTAAATCGCTGAGACACCCAGGGATCCCCTAAATAGAAGGAAGAAGGAAGAAGGAAGGAAGAAGGAGAAGAAGAAAAGAAAAGGAGGAAGAAAGAAGAAGGAAGAAGAAAGGAGGAGGAGGAGGAGAAGAAAAGAAGAAGAAGGAAGAAAGGAGGAGGAGGAGGAGAAGAAGAAAGAAGAAAGAAGAAAGAAGAAAGAAAGAAGAAAAAGAAAAAGGAAGGAAAGAAAGGCAGGGCTTGTGGATTTTTAGCTAGTCTGGAGCTACCCCAGGCTTCCCTTCCTTTGCCATCATGTGGGTGGGTGGGGAGGGAAGCCTTTCTAGGATATATCAACAGAGGAGAGAAGAACAGACTATTTAATTTCTGGGTCAAGTAGTACCCAATTCACTCCATGAACTCTGGTTATAGAAGTCAATATTTTGGTTCAGTCGGTTCAATATTTTGACCTCTGCCTTCGGCTCAGGTCATGATCCCGAGGTCCTGGGATCAAGCCCCACATCAGGCTGCCTGCTCAGGAGGGAGGCTCCTTCTCCCTCTGTCTCTGTCCACTTGTGCTGTCTCTTTCAAATAAATAAATAAAATCTTTAAAAAAAATTTTTTTTTTAGATTTTAATTTGTAACTGAAAGAGACCTTGTTAATCAGCAGTACTGATGACCATATTAGAGGTACAGATAAAAGTCATTTACTCATTCCTTTAACAAATATCATGAACAAAAATTTTCAAGAGACAATACTTTGTCTAAAAATTACTCATAAACTCACAACTATTACTTTCTTACCATTTTTTTAAAAAATAGCTCTAATCAGCATACCATTTGTCTCCAATTTTGTTTTTTGTTTTTTTTTTAAGATTTTATTTATTTATTAGAGACACAGGGAGAGAGAGAGAGGCAGAGGGAGAAGCAGACTCCGTGCAGAGAGCCCAACATGGGACTCGATCCTGGGTCTCCAGGATCACACCCTGGGCGAAAGGCAGCACTAAACCGCTGAGCCACTGGGGCTGCCCTATTTTGTTCTTGACACGCAGTCTCTACCCTATCCTAGTATATTTACTGTTTATGGCCTACCAAGTGTTACTCCTATACTTAGCCAATCCCCTATTGTTATTAGGTGCTTATAAACTCCTATACTTATGAGGAAAATCTTCACATATATATATATTTTTTTAATAATTTTGCTTTTTATCTCCTTAGGAAAGATCTCCAAAATGGGATGACTAGACCATAAAGTTAGATAGTTATAGCTCCATGTATAATACTAATTAAGTTGCTTTCTAAAAAAGGTGGGGCTATATTAGTGTATAAAATCAATTGTATCAGTTTTAGCTCCTACCTCAATTTTGGATACTTGAAAAAATTCTTACTGATGTAAATGAGGAAGTTCACTGTCTCTAATTTGCATTTCTCTGATTATACAGTTTTACTATTTTCTCCATAGTTAACAATGCTATTTTCACTTTGGTGAGCTATCACTTGTGTGTATTGTATGTATTATACCTGGTAGGACCCTAAAATGTCTGTCTGCATGAGGTTTTCAGAAAATAGTAATTTTCTGTCTCTAGCCTATGACAACTTTCTATGTAACTTGCACTTTTTGCTAATGACAAAAACCATATTGCTATTTTATAGAATGGATATTTAAGCTATTACATAAACTCAGATGCACACACAAATTATTTCTGCACTGTCCATTACGGTTTTCTCAAGAACCTAAGACAACTGTGATAAACTGTACGACCATATTCGCACTATTACAAGGGTACCTTAGACTGCCAACTATTAAGCACTACTACCTCCCACCAACATGAGCATATGTGCACACAGGCACACAGTGATTTAGAGATGGCAT